AAAGTATTCCTGCTTTTAACAAGTTTCCTCACCATTGAAGATTTAGGCGCAGTTTACCAGGAATTTGTACGAGATACCAGAGGATGCTATTTCCTATATAATCCTATTGGATATCACTTGAATTTCTGATATCAGAGATTTTTAGGTTAATATTTTAAAGACATTTTGATACCAGTTTAGAAATAACATGACAATAAGAACTGGAAAGATTTTTGGTATGTTACAAAGAGATACAAAATCAGATATTCGAGGAACCTGTCGGCAGACCTTAATATTTCTTTGCCAGATAAATTCATTGACAAAAGACATAAGAGAAAACTACCTCTTAAATACCCTGCACCTTTTAAAAAAAATAGCAAAAGTTTGTAAGGGATAAAAATGAAATTCAAGAACAATTGTATCTATCATAGGAACCGTTTTCTGAGCAATACTGACGACCCACTAAAGTGCATGGCTTTACTTATTGATTTAATTATAATATTTACTTAATCAATTGTTTAAAATAAAAACTTTTAGCTGCAAAGTTTATAAAATAAAAGAACTATTAAAATTATTGGCTGAAAAATTGAAAAAAAAAATTGGTGAACGTGATGAAATATTTCATCGAGTTTGGTGTCGATCGAAAAATGGCATTTGCTGAAGAAAGAATGCAAACTAAACCATATCTTATAGTGATATTTTCCTTTTTTATATAAATTTACTCAATGTGATTAAGAAATATTTCAGTTTTTAAAATTTATGAATACCAGTATATAAACTGAAGCTGTCATCTATGAAGCATGTTGGTGCTTCATTAAAATTATGCAAAAATTGTGTAAAAAGAACCAGGTCATATCCTAATGAACTAAAAAAAAAAAAAATGAAATCATTACTTTTAATATACATTTTAATTTTCATTATTTCATGCAATCAAATTGAAATTAACAAACTGTTGGCGGTTTGAATCACAATTTAACTTGAATCATTGCCGTACGTGAGAACTCAACATTACTCACCCATGACTAGCTGCAGAATAGTAGTCGGACAAATAAACCAGAGAGCTACAGATTCAAGCATTGTAAAAACCTTCGATTTACGCACCGCTTTTGTATTCGCTTTTGGTATTATTTCTTGTATTTTATGCATATTTTATACCTTTCAACGGTTCCAATCAGCCCTTTATGGTTTTGAAATGTCAGTAAAAAAAAAAATTGCATTCCAGCGTCCATGTCGGGGTCGAGTAAATAAAAAGTCTGTCAAAGAACATACACTTGCCAAGAAAATGTAATTGAAAAGTTTGGGAGGTATAAATATCATGTATATTGTCTATAAAGAAGATAATATGTAAATTAAAAAGAAATAAGACAAAAAAAACCCTCAAGCGTGTTATTTTGTATGACACCAACATGAACGTCGGAATGCATTTTTTTAAAACTGATACTCCAAGACCATATATAGGGTTGTTTGTTGTTTATAACAAGGAAGATAAAGGGGACGGAATAGGAGTGAAATATATGGTTAATTAACGGACACCATGTTTAAAGCGGGGGAACGCATAAAATATAAAAAAAATAATACCCACAGCGAATGACAAAAAGCGGCGCCGAAAAAATGCCTGAGGCCTGTTCAACAGGGCGAACGTTCGCGAGCGCTCGCCTAAATTCCTTATCTTTCCAACAGAAATGTTCGTGAGCGCTCGCGATGGTTCGCTCTGTTGAACAGGCCACTGGACTGTATCTCTCGGATTTATTTGTCCGAATTTTCTCAACCAGCGGGCTACATGAAATTCTGCAGCTGATAGTTTATGAGATTGTTTACTTAGAAATTCATTTAAATGAATCACCATAGGAAAAAAATATAATTTTTCTTTTAGCTTAAAAAGGTACGGAAGCCGGTTGGTGCTAGGTAGAAAAAAATATTTTATCTGGCGGCCGCCAGAAAGTTAACTGGAGGCCGCCAGAAACTATCTGGCGGCCGCCAGATAAAATATTTTTCTACCTGGCACCTACCGGCTTCCGTAAAAAGGTTATGAATGTATGACCTGACAAAAATCATAAAGTGTGTTATATGATCATGAAAAATATGCTTGTATGAATAGTCCAACTTCATATCCTTATGAATTTATAATCTGAAATACATTGCATTTTTTAAAAATATATTTCAACTACTCATTTATTTCATTCAAACACACACAGATATATTTCCTAATTTAAGCTTTAAGTTCATTGAAATGGCGCCGTTTGTACGCTTCGTCGGCTATAGCTCGTAAGATTGTGAACTTAATTTTTAGGTCTCCTGAGTAAACTCAGGTGACCTATTGCTATCCGTTTTCGTCCGTCGTCGTACGTCGTGTGTCGTACGTCGTTCGTCGGTCGTAAACTTTTGAACATTTTTAGCTTCTTCTCTGGAACCACTGAACCAATTACATCCAAATTTGGTATACAACATTTATGGGTGAAGGGGAACAAAAATTGTGAATTTCATGGTCCCTGCCCCCCTGGGGCCTGAGGGGTGGGGCTAAAACCACCAAAAATAATGCAATCTTCAAAAATCTTCTTCTTTACTCCTGGACATCAAGCAGTCAAACTGTTGGCATCATTGTAATAAGCATTGAGCCCTCTACCAAAATTGTGAAATTCATGGCCCCAGGGTCAGGGGTTCTGGCCCCAGGGTGGGGCTATATAGATCATATAGTGAAAGTGCATTATTTCTTTGAAAATCTTCTTCTCTGCTCCTGGGTGTTAAATAAAGTTACTAAGTTCATAGTTATGATGAGCAAGAGTGCCTCTTCCAAAATTGTGAAATTCATGGCCCCAGGGTCAGGGGTTCTGGTGTTAGAGCGGGGCTCTATAGATTATATAGTGAAAATGCATTAATTCTTTGAAAATCTTCTTCTCTGCTCCTGGGTATCAAAAAAAGGAACTAAGTACATGGTTATGATAAGCAAGAGTGCCTCTTTCAAAATTGTGAAATTCATGGCCCCAGGGTCAGGGGTTCTGGTGTTAGGGCGGGGCTCTATAGATTATATAGTGAAAAAGCATTTATTCTTTGAAAACCTTCTTCTTTGCTCCTGGGTATTAAATAAAGTAACTAAGTACATAGTTATGATGAGCAAAAGTGCCTTTTTAAAAATTGTGAATTTCATGGCCCCAGGGTCAGGGGTTCTGGTGTTAGGGCGGGGCTCTATTGATTATATAGTGAAAATGCATTAATTCTTTGAAAATCTTCTTCTCTGCTTCTGGATATTTAATAAAGTAACTAAGTACATAGTTATGATGAGCAAGAGTGCCTCTTCCAAAATTGTGAATTTCATGGCCCCAGGGTCAGGGGTTCTGGTGTTAGGGCGGGGCTCTATCGACTATATAGTGAAAATGCATTAATTCTTTGAAAATCTTCTCCTCTGCTCCTGGGCATTAAGGTGATAAACTAAGTACATAGTTATGATGAGGAGGTGGGCCTCTTCCAGAATTGTGAAAGCCATGGCCCCTGGGTCAGGGGTTCTGGTGTTAGGGCAGGGCTCTATTGATTATATAGTGAAAATGCTTTAATTCTTTGAAAATCTTCTTCTCTGCTCCTGGGTATTATTAAAACAAACTAAGTGCATGGTTATGATGCATAAGGATGCCTTTTCAAAAATTGTGAATTTCATGGCCCCAGGGTCAGGGGTTCTGGTGTTAGGGCGGGCTCTATTGATTATATAGTGAAAATGCATTGATTCTTTGAAAATCTTCTTCTCTGCTACTGGAGATTATTCAAACAAACTAAGTGCATGATTATGATAGACAAGGATGCCTCTTCCAAAATTTTTAAATATATCTCCTCAGTTTTTGGGGTTCTTGAGGAGGGGGGGGGGTTTGCTTAGCTATGATGAAAATGGGAGCTTCGAACAGAATTTTTAAATCTTGTGGTCCTAGGGTCAGGGGTTCTGGCATAACGAGGGGGGAGGGGGGCTTTTGATAATATAGTGGAAAAGTGTTAATTCTTTGAAGTCCATAATAATGATGATGAGGGTAACTCTTCCAAATTTGTAAATTTTAAGACCCTTGGTCTTGGGTTCTGGTGTTAGGGTATGGCTTTGTTGAATCTGTAGTGAAAATGCATTGTACCTGTGAAATTCTACTCTGCTTCTGAGCAAAAGTTTAAATGATATGAGTAAGCGTATTTCTACCAGATTTTTAAACATCTGGACCATTCGTCTAAGCATTCTGGTCCTGGGCAGGGCTCTATTAATTTGTATTCTACTGAGAGAAGTTATTCCCCTTTTCCATTCACCTTTGATAATTAATCACTGTAAATAATGTATTTGAAAGGTTAATAGAATAAGATAATTATGCAAGAATGTTTATCGTATAATTAAAAAAGTACTTTCTTAGTTTTAATAATCAGGTAGACCTGTAAGTAATAGATAAATAAAAATGAGACAAAAATAACTTATTAAAAGTTCTTCAAAGACCATAAGAGAGGTCAATGCTAGAGGTCTTAATATGGGTTTAAAAATAGTACAGAAGCACTAATAGTTTGTTAATAGGCTGCATGGTGATAGTGTTAAGTGGGGGACAGAGTAGAACTCATTTTCTGAGTTGATAGTGAATACTAGACTAATTATTTTGTTGATCCTGATCTTCCTACTTCTCTTGTTTTTGTTCCTCTGCTCTGCCTCTGGGTATTAAGTAATCAAAGTAAGCATGCTAACTGTATAGTTATGATGAGCAATAGTGCCTCTTTCAAAATTGTGAATTACATGGCCTCTGGTTTAAAATACAAACCAAATTCAATTGTTGGAAAGTTGTTACACGATAATCAGGTGACCTATAAGGCCCATGGGCCTCTTGTTTTCAAATGAAATCTTTAAGAGATTTCATTTGAAAAAAAAGTCCACATTCTTACGAGCTTTAATCTCTAAGAGAAATTATATCATATAAATATATAGAAATAACGTCAATCATAATTATAGATTTTATTTATTGAGTTCACAAAATTATAACACTGAAAATTATAAGAATGTAAAATATATACTCGTATCGTTAGTTACAAACACATACACATATAAGAAGACATGATTGTTTTACAAGTTTTGTTTTATGATGTACAGATGAAAATGTATATAAATAAAAATGGATAATAAATAAAGAGCAAATGTCTATCAGTGAGTGTGAACAGTGATATAGAACTATGATTCTAAATGAGCAGGATTTCTTTTCATCTCTAGTTTTTTAGGAAATTCGAAGGAACGCAATTGCTGTAAATTTCAACCTGAAAAAAATATTATCTTTAAGTAGAAGGTGTTATTGTCTACATAAAATTCAGGAAAATATTTCAAAGTTCACTTTACTTATCACAGAAAAATCAAAGACATGGAAAAATAGAAAAACCGTTTACTTACATTGTCTACTAAACCATTAAATCCAGAACCGGGCTTCGGACAGCCCCCAATAAACATCGGGTTCGAGCTCGTCTCTATTCCACCAGTAAGTCTCTCTGAGATGCTGTTGCCATTAACTTCAGCAGTAAACGTATTTCCATCGTAGTGATAGGAGATCTCATTCCATTCATAGGGCTTAAAGTAAAATAATTATGTGCAGTTTGGCTTTCTTTTGCAATTGAATAAACCATTCAGAAAGAAAATAATAATTTTGAAATATTCCTACTCAGTATCTTTCTTCCGTATATTGAAATAAAATAAAACAATTTTTAGATGTAGTATTAAATACTTACAATTATATGATATTCTAAAATGGATGGAGAGTTGGATAGTAAACTTTTAGCTACTAGTCTCGCTTTTTTATCCTGCATAGATATTTCTACTGTTGGTAGACCTTCATGTCCACAGTTAGAAACTAGCATTCCATACCCTCCCTCTGTCTGGAAAGGCTTAAATCTAACTCTAACGGCAAATTCATCTCCCAGTTCTTTGTTCATAAAACCCCACAATGTAATCTTTCCGTTTCCATTGAACTTTGCTGCGCCATTTTGTATAATTGCGTTTTCTACGTAAAAAGCCATGTTGGATCCAGAGAGTTCCTTGAACAAGTCTCTATCGAAATTCATCTTAAAGTCAGGTTTGCAAACTGTATAAGACAGAGAAAGAGGAGGATTTAATTAGCAGTATTCTTTACAATACTGTTAGTCTTATGATTTTATTAAAGAAGGTTGTTAAGACTATAAAGGCAACTGTAACTAAGCCTGATAAATTTATACCTTCTCTTCGTTGGTATGTTATGGTTTTCATCGGATTCCAAGTGCAGATACATTGACTAGCACTAAATTCGGTTCCGTATGGACATGCTCTAAATCGAAGACCACTGTGTTCTAGGGTAAGGTATCCATATGGGTTGCCACTATCTGGTAGGAACCTACACACTATATATATAAAGAAAAAACTCAATAACCAGCTTTACTATAGATAGGTGTATAAAGGTAAATTTCCACAGAAATTCAAATAATTCCTACTTTGTTGATTTACACGTCGTCTTAAGTCGTTTGGCGTTTCACAGGAATCTGTGCAAGAACTGTCCGGAACACAACCCTGCCCATCAAAGCGAAATCCCTTTTCACAGCAGGCTGGGACCGAAATTCCCGCTTCGCATGAATAATGAGACCTACAGCCACCAGACCTTGCGTAGGCATTTACATCAATCTTGAGACATTGGTCTGAAAATTGACATAATATGTTTTTTTTTGAAAATAAACTTATATAATACCATAATGTAAAAAAGAGATTTGTTTATTATTTCAACTTTTTCATTTTTCTTTGTAGGTTTATGAAAACAAACTGGATATATCGGAAAAACATACCATCGTAACACGGCACTTTTTCTGGTGATTTACACATGGCGTGGTCTTGATGCCAGAATAATCCAACTGGACATTCTCTAAGAACTGCTTTTGTTTGATCGTAGTTGAAGTAACATTGAACAACTTTGTTGCATTGTCCTGGATATGTATTGTACCCGATGCCATCAATATAAGCACTATTTTCACACAAAGCTATAGAAATAAATTTTGATAACATATATCAATAACAGTGAATTTTACATAAGAAAAAAAAAGACGAAAGTGCGAAATTTAGAAAAATAATAATAATAATAAAGCGTGACAGAATTTGTTTGAAAGTCATACTTTCAAGGGGAGGTGGCGATGAAGTTATTGCTACAGATGTTGCTGGTTCAGTAATTTTCTGCACAGAAGTAGTTGCCTCAGGGGCTTTAGGTTCCAAAGTTGTTGGTTCAGGGGTTGTCTGTCTACGAGTTGTTGGTGCTGAAGTTGGTTTTGGAGTGGTTGGTTTTGGAGTTGTGGGTTCTAGAGTTGTTGGTTCAGGAGTGGTTGGTTTTGGAGTTGTTGGTTCAGGAGTGGTTGGTTTTAGAGTGGTTGGTTCAGGAGTGGTTGGTTTTGGAGTTGTTGGTTCAGGTTTGGTCGATTCAGGAGTTGTTGGTTCAGGTGTGATTGGTTCTGGGGTTGTGGGTTTAAGAGTGGTTGCTTTTGGAGTTGTAGGTGCTTCAGTGGTTGAAGTCGTGGATTCTAGAGTTGTTGGTTTTGGAGTTGTGGGTTCTACAGTAGTTGGTTCTGAAGTTGTCGTTTCAGGAGTAGCTGGTTTTTGAGTTGTTGGTTCAGGTGTGGTTGGCTCTGGAGTTGTGGGTTCAAGTGTGGTTGGTTCTAGAGTTGTGGGTTTAAGAGTGGTTGCTTTTGGAGTTGTGGGTGCTTCAGTGGTTGAAGTCGTGAATTTTAGAGTTGTTAGTTCTAGAGTTGTTGGTTCAGGAGTGGTTGGTTTTGGAGTTGTTGGTTCAGGAGTGGTTGGTTTTGGAGTTGTTGGTTCAGGTGTGGTCGGTTCTGGAGTTGTTGGTTCAAGTGTGGTTGGTTCTGGGGTTGTGGGTTTAAGAGTGGTTGCTTTTGGAGTTGTGGGTGCTTCAGTGGTTGAAGTCGTGAATTCTAGAGTGGTTGGCTTTGGAGTTGTGGTTTCTTGAGTGGTTGGTTCTGGAGTGATTGGCTCTGGAGTTGTTGGCTTTGGAGTTGTTGGTTCAGGTGTGGTTGGTTCTGGAGTTGTGGTTTCAGGTGTTGTTGGTTCTGGAGTTGTGGGTTTAAGAGTGGTTGCTTTTGGAGTTTTGGGTGCTTTAGTGGTTGGTGTTGTGGATTCTATAGTGGTTGGTTCTGGAGTTGCTGGTTCAAGAGTGGTTGATTCTAGGATTGTTGGTTCAGTTGTGATTTGAACTTGAGTTGTGGGTTTTTCAGTGGTTGAAGTTGTGGTTTCTAAAGTGGTTGGTTCTGGAGTGGTGGGATTTAGAGTGGTCGATTCTGGAGTTGTGGGTTTTCCGGTGGTTTGTTCTGCAGTTGTGGGTTCAAGAGTAGTTGGTTCTGAAGTTGTAGGTTGAGGAGTGATTAGTTCTGAAGTTGTTGGTTCAGACGTGGTTGGTTCTGATGTTGTAGGCTTTAGAGTGGTTGGTTCTGGAGTGGAAGTCTCTTCAGTACCTTGTTTGCTAGGTGTTGGTTTTTGAGTAATTGCTGCTGGAGTTGTTTGTTCAGAAGTGCTTGGTTCTGTAGTGGATAGTTCAAAAGTGGAGGTTTCAGGAGTGTTTAATTCCAGAGTTTTTGGTTTTCGAGTTGTTGGTTCAGGTGTAGTTTGTTCTGATGTCATCATTTCTAGAGTTTTTGGTTCTTGGGTTATAGGCTCTTCAGTGGTTGATTCCGGGCTTGTAGGTTCTTCAAAAGTTGGTGCTGGCGTTGTTGGTTCAGGAGTGGTTGATTCTGGAGTTGTGGGTACATGTGTGGATTGTTCAGGAGTGGTTTGTTTTGGAGTTGTGGGTTTTAGAGTGGTTGGTTCTTCAGTTCTGAGTTCAGGCATTGTTGGTTTTAGAGTTGTTGGTTCTGGAGTTGAGGGTTCAGGGGTGGTTTGTTCTGTAGTTGTGTATTTAGGTGTGGTTGGTTCTGCAGTTGTGGTTTCTAGAGTGGTTGGTCCTGGAGTCGTGGGTTCTTCAGTGGTTGATTCTAGAGTTGTGGGTTCTACCGTGGTTAGTTCTAATGTAGCTGGTTCTGTAGTTGTGGGTTTAAGAGTGGTTTGTACTAAACTTATAAATTCCTCAGTGGTTCGTTTAGGGGTGATTGGTTTTGGAGTTTCGGGTTCTATAGTTTTTTGTTCTGGAGTTGTTGACTCGGGAGTTGTTTCAAGAGTTGTTGGTTCTGACGTGTTTCGTTCTGTAGTAACTGTTTCGGGATTGGCTGGTTCAAGAGTAGTTGACTCTGGAGTTGTTAGTTTAGGAGTGGTTGATTCTAGCGTTGTTTGTTCAGAAGTGATTTGTTCTGGAGTTGTTATTTCAGGGAGTATTGTTTCTGGAGTTGTCGACTCTGTAGTTTCTGAAGTCGTTGGAGGAGTTTGTTCTGGAATTTTAGGTTCAGAAGATGTTGCTTCAGAAGTTATTGGTTCTGAGGTTGTCAGTTCCTGTGTTGTTTGTCTACGAGTTGTTGATTGTGAAGTTGTAGATTCAGAAGTTGTTTGTTCAGTGACTATTGTTCCATTTGTTTTTGAACTTGGAGTTGTTCGTTCCGGAGTTGCTAGTTCAGGGGTCGTTGGTTCAGGAGTTATTGTTTTCGAAGTAGAATGATCAGGAAAAGCTGTTATTTCAGTGGCCTCTTGAATATTTGTAGGTTCAGTTTCCGAGGCAACTACCTGAAAACCATCATTTGGACCCTCAAGGATCACATCATGGGGCACTGTGATGTTTCCAATTTTTCGAACTTTTCTATTTCCTTGAATTGGTAGATTTTGTGTATCTGTATCTTTGGTTATTTGCTGGTATACTATTTTCTCTTGAACACTTTGTTCTGGACTTGTTTTCTCTTGAATTGTTGGAGTCTGTGTTGTAGGTTCTTTCATTACTGAAGTTTGAATTGTTGGGTCCACTGTTGAAAGCTCTTGTGTTGTGGTGTCTCCTGATGTGGCTGCTTGTACTTTTGGTGTGTTGGTTGCTGGCTTCTGAGTTATTTTTTGTGTTGTTTGTTCTTGGAGATCCAGATTTAGAGTTGTTTGACTTAGATCTAATGGTTCTAATGTTTCTTTTATTACATTTTCTCTATTTTTCACTTGATCCTTTACTTCGTTTGGCAAAAGCATGTTAACAAACGAGTCCAAAGAAATGGACCCTGTTGGAGATTGAAATTTACTTGGGCTCTTTGTATCAACAGTTTCTGATACAATTGACACTTTCTCTTCAGGGATATATGTGACGGTTGTTGTGCTGATATCATTTATTCCAGGACTTGAAAGCAACCTGTTCAATTTGTCGCCGCCTTCAGCAGTAGTTTTCGTTGAATTGTGTGTTGGGGTTTCTAAATCACTGTTGCGCGTGGGGCTTGTCGTAGAGGGTATAAAAGAACTTGTTGAATTTTCTCCATGAAGCATATCCCTTTCTGTACCACTTTTTTGTATTACAATATTGGCACCTTCAATGATCACAGCTGTGATGTTTTCAATATTTCCCACATTTTGTTGTTCCAGACTCCTTGCAACAGAATCCTTATCTGTTTGAAATATATTGTTAGCGATAGAGGCTTCGTTTGTGTCGTTATTGGTATCAGCACGGTCAGTCGATTCATTGACGGTAAAATTTTGGATTTCGTTATCAATGGATTCTAAATGAATATTTTTAAAATCCGACACACGGTTTCCTGTTTGTGTCCATTCTTCCGGGGATATGGAGTATATACTCTCCTTCACCACTGGAACCGGGGTAGCAAATCGTGATGCTGTTCCACCGACAGTTGTAGAAGTTGTTTCTACAAATTGAAAACCGTCACTTTTCCATAGGATATTTCCGTTAGCTTTAAATATTGGCCTCTGGTTTCCTAGAGTTAATCCTAGCACTATGAAAATCAAACAGCCCTTCAGTATTGTCATGGCGGACTGCAAGAGAACAATTACACGTTTATGTAATAGAAAATCTGGCCCAGAAATATTTCTAGAAAATAAAAACGTTATAAAATGTACTAAGAAAATGTAACAGAAATGGTGTAATTCTAAAATATACAACGTACACTTTCGTGCGCACGTCAACTATATGACCCATAAGAAAATAATATATGTGCCTTTATTCTTATTTCAGGTGTCAATAAAAAGAATATTGCTTTATGACATTAAAAAATATTCTGCCAAGTTTGTTTCCTGAAAAGCAAAATATTAAAGAAAAAAATTCAATGAATAAAAATGATTATAATTTATATTAAAATATTTTGATTCTTACTTACTATAGTTATGAAGGAATCTAGAAATATATCCACTCCTTTCGGTCTGTTCGGGGATTATATAGTCACACGCCTCCAGTCCGAAGTTTATACCTAATTCGGAACCCACCTCCAAGCAAAATGACTAAAGTCTTCGTAATGGTACCATCACATAATTCATGTGACTGACAGCCCAATAATCACGTCCAAAACACGAAATCCATCAGTTAAGACGTTTATGATAATTAGCTGCACATCATTAGCGAAGCTAATTAATTCTTCATATAACCGAATCTAACATTCGAGTCGCGGTTCCGCCATAATTAAAATTCATTTTAATTTTTTTGGAATTTGTATATACGACATTTTCATAAATACATCTAAATTAAGACGCCTGCTTTCAATGTAACTGCAGATATTTAGGTTTGCGTCGTACAAGGTGATACAAATTTGCCACATACAACAATATTTGTGGTATTCGTATCATCCAAAAATTGAAATTTATTTACAAAAGTCTATAGATAGATGAGACTGTCAGAAAATTTCAACATGACTAAATCATTAATTAAAATCAAATTCATAGAACAACTCCATAAACATTAAAACATGAGAAATTCAAGTTAGTAAGAAAAGAAGAATCTAAGAAGAATCCATGTCTCTAACTATATTTCTTCAATTTGCGAAAACCTTTCAGTCTAACATGTTACTTCTACTGAATAATCATAATCTTTCTTGGAGAAAAAATTGCTATTTCCCTCAACGATTGAGAACATTGATCCGAACAAAGAACAACCTCTTATATACCATAGATCGACTTCGATATGTTCTTTTACTGGGTAATTATATTAAATATATATATATATATATATATATATATATATATATATATATATATATATATATATATATATATATATATATATATATATATATATATATATATATATATATATATATATATATATTTTTAATTTTTAGGGTTCAGTAATTAATAATGATATATTTATTATTTTAAATAATTAATTTCCTTTTATTGAGACATTTGTCCACGTTATCGATAGAAGTTGTATTTCATGTAAAGCTTGATATTTTAATTAAAAAATATAACTAACTGCAACGTTTCATTCAGTTCAAAAGCACGTTATGTTTTTCTTCTAGATTGAGCAGCCAAATAAAAGAAAAGACAGCGATTAAAAATTTGAGCGAGGAATGGTTAGATGACTATTAATTTTTTAAACCGTGCAACCGCTAGTTGTTGTTTTTTTTACCATACAATCTCAGTTTTTTCTCTTTAATAAATAGCAACTCATATGTAAAAAATGTTTAATCTACATGGTTAATGACTTTTCAAAAGTGAGCAATGCTCCTCCTCCCTTTTAGATAACCAAAAATCAATCAATGAATCAATGACAAAGAATTCTTATTGTATTCAAAATGCATTCTAAAACTATACAACTTATTCAAGCTGTATCGCACGAAACATTATTATATATATGTACACTATATTAATGACTGAACAAGATTTTTCCCTATGATGTTTTATTGTGAATTTGCTCAGTTATCAGGAAACATCCTATAGATATAGTAAAATTGCAAACAAATCTAAACATCATCTTCAAAGTTCCAAGAAATCAAAATAACGTTGACTTTTGTAGACATAATAATTTTAACCTCAATAATAAAAAGGACATACTTCAAACAGATCCAGAAATATTACATATAACAAAAATCTATGCATGGCCAATAAGTATACATATTCCCACTAAAGTTATTGAGATTTAAATTCAAGACACATGGTCTTGGTTGACCCATTTAAAGATTAAAGGGTAGAACCGGTTTTGCAATTAAAAAATTGCATTTCACATGAAATTACTATTGTCTGTTTCTTTTAAATACAGGTATCATGAAAAAGGCGTTTACAGACTCCTCTGATAGATTTTTATGATTTAAAAAAGGAAAAGCGGGGAGGGGGTAAAATCACTTGCTACTTAATCTTCGCTTTTATGGTAATTTACGGTGAAGATTGGAGCTCACTAGCAATTATTTTTCCAAAGTCGCCAAATAGGCTGGTAAAAAAAGTGTAATATCTACCATAATGACAAAGCTTTACCTTATTTGGCTATTGTTATATGTACAGCAGATCTTACCACGAACAATTGGCTTACTACATACTATTTTACATTTTACTTCGAACACGTGGTTCAGGTCAATCTACGTATTGGAAAAATGCCGCATACAGTTCCGTATAAAAAATATATCAGACAGTTTGAGGCTCGTTTTAGAATGTTTGAAGATGCAATGTGAAAAAAAATGGAAATAATTTTTATCGTTTTTTTAATAAAAAATAAAAATACAAAGATTAGAAATTAAGAAAGATGTTCAATCATGCTCTCGATTAGAAAGGAGGTGGTTTTTCACCTATTGATATTGCCTCGTTTATAATTTTTTGTTATTTTTTGTCTAGAAATTCAAAGTCATACAAACTGTACATAATACAAGGTAGTCTCTACAATGTTCAGATTGTTTGGAAAAGAGCATCAGCACTTTAAGGATAAGGAGAACGAGCAGCATCTTTTATGCATTTGAATGACCAACAAAGGTTTTTTTTTTACCTGTTTATATTATAATACGCGTGAACACGTGTGTCTTTTGTCTTGGGCCAGGGAATCCAGCTGACATTTGTATTCACCAATACCCCCTACTACACCGTAATGTGTTCTAAACCTTTCATTTTTCGTTGTTACCCGAAGAGTAGTACTCGCAGTAGCTCTGGCAAGATTTAGTAAGACTACAGCGAGACTATTGATGGATAAGGTAAATTACTTACGGAATGTAGCTAGGAAGTGACTAGCACGTGGAAACATGGTAATAGAAAAAGTTTAGTGGAAATGCACTTTAATCTCTTTAAAATTAAGTTAAACTTCTTTAATAAGTAATTTTTATGACATCATTTTCTGCAGTTACGTATTACAATTTCTATTTGGACAATCATGTTTGCATGGGATTTATATTTTCTGGAGTCAGACAAAATTTACACGCTAGATAAGATACCAACCTGACTTAAACTGAAAAATCAGAGGCATTATAAGTTACTACGAATATTACAAGAATTTTACGCTTGGAAAAAACCAAATGTACTCGCAATCGGAAAAACACAATGGTCTTTTTATGCATTTCATAGATAGAAAACAATATGTCCATTATCATCTTTTATTTCCATGCTCACATTTACAAACAATTGTTAAAAATAAACGTAGAATTCTAAGTTTTTCAAAGCCATTCTGAAAGACAATTTTCGTTTGTGCATCGTTGAATCAAATGTCAGGTGGATTCCCTTGCCGAAGACAAAGGACATACAGTATGTATTCACCCGTATTGTGATATATACAAACTATCTCAGTCATTTGAATTGCACAGACTACCCTGTATTATGTACATTGTATAATTTTGAATTTCAAGTCAACAATTAATGACAAAAATTAAATTACAAACGCACCAATTTCAAGTTATGAGGTAAAAAAAAAACTTCCTTTCTTATCTTTCTCATAAATAGCATCCTTCTTAATTTCTAATTATTTTTGCATTAAAAAATCAATGAAAAAAGTACTTTACTATTCATTCAATGATTGGACAATAAGACAATTATACTCCTATAGGAGAGGAGAAAAATGCGACGCACCAGACCAGGATTCGAACCCGGCCTCCCTAATTGGCCATAAATCTCCGATCAAGTGCTCTACCAACTGAGCTATCTGGCCACCGGCTATCGAACCCGTCTGGTTGCCAGACTCCTCCCTCCTTAAAAGTCTTCGGTCCCCGAAAACACCAACCAAGGCTCTCCCTCGGCAGGTCTTTTACCTTACAGGAGAGGAGAAAAATGCGACGGACCAGACCGGGATTCGAAACCGGCCGCCCTGAATCTCCAGTCAGGTGCTCTACCAACTGAGCTATCTGGTCACCAGCGATGGAACCCGACTGACCTCCACAATACACTGTGCGCAGTATTTACAACAGTCATATAAGGTAAACAAAGGTTTGTCATTGTATTTTTTTCTATCAGCCTATTGGACAACTTTGTGAAATTAGTCAAGACTGAACTCCAACCTTGCCGTAAATTATCATAAATCAAAGATTAAGTATGTGATTTTAACCCCCCATCCTTTTCTTTTTAAAGTCATCAAAGTCTACCAGAAAGTTCAGGAAACATTTTTTTTCATAGTACATGTATATTTTAAGTGAAATATGGAGATAACGAACAGTAATCAAGCTCAAAAGTTCATTGAAACAATACAAATTTGGATCAGAGCAAACACGGACCTCTGAAAACATGAAGTGGGATCAGGTACCACCCTTCGACCGGTGACACCCGCCGTGTGCTCCTTGTCATGATCGGAAAACAATTCATTATGAAAATATTCGCCTAACAATTTGTACGAAAAACGCCAGCCAACTTTCAAGTAAATGATAGATTGTTTTTGCTGACAAGGTCAATACATCGGCCATAGAATTTGCGAAATGGTGACTTTGAACTGGACCGTACATATTTTTGTTTTATCAACTTGTTAATAGCTTGCCTCGTTTTAGAAATTGTTCGTACGTAGAGAATGCTCTTTCGTATCGAATAAACTGGGAGATATTAACTCCACATGCAAGTGACATTGTTTATCGCTACATAAT